AATCAATAGATTTTATTTATTTAAATTAATATTCAATTATATGCATAGCAGGTCCATTAGTTACACATGAATATATTTGTCTTATTCCATAGGATCCTGCATGAACAACATTATCTTTATTTTGACTACATAATTCACGTAAATTTGAAACAAGTTTATCATAATATTCAAGACCAATATCTTTATTTATATTATTATGATATTGAAAACGACGTGCATTAAGACGACCACCTAATGTTGCTTGTGGAATGATTAAAAGATCGCCAGGTAGATCAACAATTGTTTTTAATCCATCGTCACTTTCACATAGCTTGACTGTAGCACTATCTTTTGCTAAATTTTCAAATGAAATAATAAATATATTTATTTTTCTGTTTTTCTTCATACCTAATTGATCTACATCATCCAACTGAGCATTTTTTTAAAAAGCCACAAATACGATCATTCCAAGATTTATCTTTAATTAATAAATCAATCGTTTTTTTTTTATACATTGGCATGGTTTTTCAATTCAATTAACTTACAGTAACTTCTAATTCATCTTGAAGACGTAATGTAGCTTTCGTACATTGTTGTAATAAACAACGAACTCGTATAGTTGACATCAATCAAGAAAAAATAAATGAATATCTATTTATTTATTTCGCTTTTCTGTGGGAATCTTTATTCAAACACATAATAAGTGGGAAACAAATACACTGTTTAAAGTTTTTCAATTAAAATACTTGATGCACCACCACCACCATTACATACATCAGCAACACCTTTTTGACCAGACTTTAAACTATGACATAAATGCACGACAATTCTTGCACCAAACATGCCAATCTAAAGAAACACAAAAAAAAGAAAAGTAATTATAAAATTGGAATAATTTTTATTATACGAACTGGATGTCCAAGTGCAACGGCACCACCATCTATATTCATTTTATCAATACTAAGACCAAGTATTTTAGCATTAGCTAAAGCAACAGAACTAAATGTCTCATTAAATTCCCATAATGCAATATCATTTTTATCAACTTTGGCAAGCTTTAAAAGCTAGAAGAATTCAAATAAATAGATACATAGAAAAAAAAACAACAACAACAAAATAATTTTCTATACCTTTGGAACGGCCAAAGCAGGTGCTATACTGAAATCAACTGGAGCTGTTGCAGCATCAGCAAAAGCTAAAACGAAGAGTTTTAGATTAGTTTTTCAAGGGTAGAAATTGTAACAGTGACTTCTGCGACTCTAACTAGTCTAAGCATTTCATATCTATGATAATATATCCTAAATTTACAATAGTCACTGATCTCTTCTATATTATCGTTTTCACGCAAAAAAAAATATTTAAAAAACTTTTTACCAATGAGTCGAGCTATTGGTTTACAACCAAGTCCATCAGCAGCTTGACGTGTCATTAACCCTTTACCCCCCATGGAGGTTCCAGAAGAGCCACTGATAAAATAACTTTATTAATACAGTACTACCCGCGCTAGTATGCAAATGGCATAATCTGATCCATCGAATGTTCTGCTCCAAGAGTAGGACGATTTGATTTATCCAGAAATCACGGGGTAGGGAAAGAAAATTGAACTACACCGTAAGAGTTGATTTTTATTCTTTGACCACAATATTGAGTGGATAGAAGGAACATCTATTTCGCGTTATTAGAATAATGGAAAAAAGATGAGAAATAAACCCATAAAAATGAACACCAAAGAATACATGCGTTTTTTAGATGTTTTTTCAAATTAAAGCCAATTTTATTCTTGGCCATTTAATAACCTCTCATCAAATTGAATTCATCATAAATAGAGTTTCGACTTCTCATGAGTCGACGTATCTAATATATGTATTAACTGTGCTCTTGATTTCGCCCCATAGGTCAATTAGTGGCTACATGGTCAATCATATTTCTTTGTATGTCATATTCGCTGAGTTATTACTAAAATTTTGAAATATATTTTATTTATCAAAGAACTTCTTCATCAATTAATATCACATAGAAATTCCATGAGATCTCTATTGGCTGCGAGTAGAAAGTATTTTACCTAAAAAATTTCAATTTTTTTCATTTTTCCAAAATTTTCGATTTTTTAGACCCTTTATTTCAAAGACGAAGCAATCAAAAGGAACAGTCTTTCTACCAATGGATAGCCCATGAAGTTTACTACAAAGAAGGTGCTTAGCGTTTTTTAACCCGATGCTCCCTTTCTTTTCCGCAGTCGTTTTACAAATGGTCACTCCAGCGACCAAGGGAGGGTAAAGGGTTAATAAACAAGCAGCTGCACCATCATTAATTTTTGATGCATTTGCTGCTGTTATTGTTCCATCTTTTAGAAAGGCAGTTCTTAACTATTAAAAGAAAAAAAAACACATCTTAATTTATATTCAAATAATATTTCATAAAACTTACTTTTTTCATTTTTTCAAAATCGACTTTTTTTATATTCTTCATCTTCTTTAACAACAACTTCACCTTTTTTTTGTTGTTACAGTTATAGGAACGATTTCAGCATTGAATTTTCCTTCTTTTCATGCTCTTGCTGTTCGTTCATAAGATAATTTAGCAAAAGCATCTTGATCAGCACGAGTTAAGTTATATTTCTTAGCAGTTTGTTCGGCACACAAACCCTAGAATTATAATTTTCGTTCGAATATAAATGAACAACATCATTGTATGAGATTTACCATTGGAATTCGATCATAAGCATCAACTAAACCATCTTTAGCAATACCATCTTCCATTTGAAGATTTCCATAAGGTGTATCTCCTAAAGAAAACAAAACACCAAAGATTAATTTAAATCAAAAGAAAAAAATAATTTTATTGAAACCTCTTGGAAAATAATATGATGCATTTGACATGCTTTCCATACCACCGGCAATCATAATAGCTTTCATACCACTTGCACATACTTTATTTACTGTTGTACAGAGTGTTTCTTGTGTTAAACCTGCATAGAGTGATGCTTGTCGTGCTGGAGCTTGACCAACACCAGCTTGAACAACATTACCCATATAAACTTCTTGGACACGATTAGTAGGTATTTCTATAAAACAACAATTTACATTAAAAATGAATATCAATTTATATTCGTCTTACTTGCACGTTCTAAACATGCTTTTATAGCTGCAGCACCAAGTTTAACGGCTGGTACAGATGCAAGACTTTCACGAAATGAACCGATTGGTGTTCAAGCAGCACTCACTATAACTACTTCCTATTTGTAAAATAAATAATTAAACTTCATTTGAAATAAAATAGAAATGTTTACATTGAGATTCGGACTAGTTGATGCAGATCGGTATTGATGAGCGATTGATGAAATCTTATTTAAAATAAATAAGTATAAATTATGAAAATTAAATTAAAAATTTACCGGAGCACATGTTGATGTACAATTTAAGCTCAATAATCGTGAAACTACTGAAGAACTAAGTCGTGAAACCATCTAAAAGAGAATATATATGAATCAATTGATCAAGTTGCCATAAGATTTCTTGTGGATTCTAGATCATAGTCTACACTTGTTGTTGAAAAGTCTATTGGTAATTGAAGAAGACAAATAAATAACTTA